TAAATTTCTGGCATTTTGTCTAAGTAGTGTTTACTACCATTACTGTAACAGTGACCTGCTCGTAATTTTTGGTGTTCACTCAAATGTTGAAATTAAACAAAATGTTTTTGTTACTTGCCTCTTGCATTGCCTATTTACCATTTATGGTCATGTTATTTTATGTGCAATTTAATGCAGTATTTTTCAACCTTGGTCTGCAAGGCAGCGTGCCAATAGTCAGACACACCTGGATTAATCAGTTTGTCCAATGATGTAAGACAGGAAATAAAAGAGCTGTGCTTAATTCAGGAAATAGTGAAGTTGTGCACAAAGCTCAGAAAGCACAAGTTTGTTTAAAAAAAAAAATAGCACAGCCCCACCAAAAATATTTTTCACCAGCCACCACTGTCCATCACCCTTGCAAGGGTATAGAGTTGGTCCACAGTTCCACGGTCAGGATGAAAACCACATTGCTCCTCCTCAATCTGAGATTGAACTATCGATCGGATCCTCCTCTCCAGTACCTTGGAGTAGAGCTTTCCAGGGAGGCTGAGGAGTGTGATCCCCCTATAGTTGGAACACACCCTCCGGTCACCCTTCTTAAAGTTGGGGACCACCACCCCGGTCTGCCACTCCACAGGAACTGCCCCCGATGACCACGCAATGTTGCAGAGACACGTCAACCACAACAGCCCTACCACATCCATAGCATTGACAAACCCAGGACAAATCTCATCCAGCCCCGGGACCTCATCCACCCCTGTGTAGTTGTTTGACTACCTCAGCAACCTCTGCCTCAGAGATTGGACAGTCCATCCCCAGGTCTCCTGGCTCTGGCTCCTCCTTGGAATGCGCACAGGTGGGATTGAGGAGCTCCTCACAGTATTCCTTCCACCGCCCGAATATAGCCCCAGTTGATGTCAGCAGCTCCCCATCCCCACTGTAAACAGTGTGAGCGAGTTGCTGCCTCCCTCTCCTGAGGCACCGGACAGTTTGCCAGAACCTCTTTGGCACCGATCAATAGTCTTTCTCCATGGCCTCACCAATCTCCTCCGACGCCCAAGATTTTGCGTCGGCAACTGCCACTGCTGCACCCCGCTTGGCTATCCGGTACCTGTCTGCTGCCTTCGGAGACCCACAGACCAGCCACGCCCTGTAGGCCTCCTTCTTCAGCCTTACAGCTCCCTGAACCTCTGGTGTCCACCATCGGGTACGGGGGTTGCCACCACGACTGGCACCGGTCACCTTGCAACCACAGCTAGCAACAGCCGCCTCAACAATCGCAGAGTGGAACAAGGCCCACTCGGAGTCAATGTCCCCCACTGCTCTCGGGATGCGGTCAAACCTCTGCCGGAGGTGGGAGTTGAAGACCGTCTTGACAGGTTCTTCTGCCAAGCGTTCCCAGCAGACCCTCACTATGCGTTTGGGTCTGCCAGGTCTATGCAGCATCTTCCCCTGCCATCTGATCCAACTCACGACCAGGTGGTGATCAGTTGACAGCTCCGCTCCTCTCTTCACTCGGGTGTCCAAAACATATGGCCGCAGGTCAGATGATACGACTACAAAGTCTATCATCAACCTGCGACCTAGGCTGCCCTAGTACCAAGTGTACTGATGGGCATCCTTATGTTCGAACATGGTGTTCATTATGGTCAAGCTGCGGCTTGCACAGAAGTCCAATAACGAAACACCACTCGAGTTCAGATCGGGCGGGGCGTTCCTCCCAATCACACCCCTCCAGGTCATGCTGTCATTGCCCACGTGAACATTGAAGTTCCCCAGTAGGACAACGGAGTGCCCTGATGGAGCACTATCTAGCACTCAACCCAGGGACTCCAAAAAGGGTGGGTAATCTGAACTGATATTTGGCGTATAAGCACAAACAACAGTCAGGACCCGTTCCCCGACCCAAAGGCGCAGGGAAGCTACCCTTTCGTCCCTCGGGGTAAATCCCAACACACATGCAGAGAGTCTTGGGGCTAACAAAAAACCAACCCCAGCCCTCCGCCTCTCACCCAGAGCAACTCCAGCAAAGGAGAGTGTCCAACCCCTCTCAAGAACTTGGGTTCCAGAGCCAATGCTATGTGTCGAGGTGAGTCCGACTATATCTAGCCGGTACTGCTCAACCTCTGTCACAAGCTCCTGCTCCTTCCCCGCCAGCGAGGTCACATTCCATGTCCCAATAACCAGTTTCCTTGTCCGGGGATCAGACCGCCAAGGCTCCCGCCTCGGTCTGCGCGCATGGCTTTGGGGAGTCCATACAGAACCAGTGATTCATCATCATCATCATCATCATCACTATCACTACAATCATCACCTTAACCATTACCACTATCATCACCATCCTCATCATCATCACTATCACCATCACCATGATTATCACTATCATCATCGCCACCATCACTACCATCATCGCCATGATTATTACCATTGTTACCATGAGCATCACCATCATCAACACCATCATCATCACCATCATCATCATCATCATCATCATCATCATCATCATCATCATCATCATCATCATCATCATCATCACCATCATCACCATCCCCATTACCATCATCATCACTTTCACTACAATTATCACCTTAACCATTACCACTATCATCACCATCCTCATCATTGCTATCACCATCACCATCCTCATCATCATTACTAACACCATTACCATAATTATCACTATCATCATCAACACCATCACCATCATCATCGTCACTATCATCATCACCATGATTATTACCAGGAGGTTGAGAAGGTTGTCCAGTAATCAGAAGGCTGCAGGTTCGATCCTGGAGGGACCGGTGGTGTCAGTGCTCTGCAGCCTCACCTCTGTCAGTGCGTCCCACGTTAGCTGTAGCTGCATTGTAGCTAATCCCCACCAGCATGTGACTGTGTGTGTGAATGGGTGAAGTGCCTTGGGGGGTTGTAGAACCCTAAGAAGGCGCTATACAAATACCATTTATCATCACCAACATCATCGTCATCATCATCATTATCACCACCATCATCATCATCCTCATCACCACCATTATCATCATCATCACCAACATGACCATCATCATCAACAACAACATGACCATCATCATCATCATCATCAATTCAATTCAAGTTTATTTATATAGCGCCAAATCACAGCAAGAGTTGTCTGAAGGCACTTCACATGGTAAACATTCCAGTACAGGTCAGTTCATTGAGCCAATCAGAAAATCATCACCATTATCATCATAACCACCATCTTCATCCTCATCTTCACCACCATCATCATTATAGCATCACCCTCATCACCACCATTATGATCATCATCACCAACATGACCATCAACATCAAAATAACCATTCTCATCCTCACCACCATCATCATTATATCATCATCCTCATTACCACCATTATCATCATCATCACCAACATGGCCACTGTTGGGTATTTTCTTATATGTTCCTTTTTGAGTCTTAAAACCATTTGCTCCTGTAAGCTTATTGTTATCTCTGTTATCTCTGGAATGTGGTGTCCTGGGAGATGAGGAGCCTGTATGTCTGTAACCCGAGAAGGCCAGCCTTCTCCATCCTGATGCTTGAATAAAAGGCTGTGTGGAGCTAAGGAAGGGGGGAGAGGCGATGATGGAACTCGGAGGAGTTGTGTCGTCGTTCTCTCCCCGCTGCCCGGCAACGCATTGTACAATGAAATCCTCTTTGTGTATGTGTGTTTATTTCAGGTTAAAGGGTCATGGAAAATACGAATAATCAATCTAATTCCTCTGCGTGTCTTCCTTTAAGGTAATATGGGATAAATGAAAAATTACCTATCAACCACCACCACCACCACCATCATCACCATCATTATCATCACCACCATCGTCACCATCATCGTCACCATCATCATCATCTCAAACACAACATATAAAATATAGAAGTATACAATATGTAATAGATGCAGTATGTAGAACCACATGACTTCTAGATTCTAAAGTTCACTGAGTTTATTTAATAAAACAAATTTTCTTTATTAAACATTTGCATTTGTTGTTCTTTAAATATTTTACTCATTTCTGTTCTTTATCTTATCAGACATAAAAACACTTGATATTCTAACCATCAAATCCAGAAAAACGGACATTACTGTGCTGTACTAGCAAACTTCTTACCCATAATTCCCTCTGGTCTACACATTGGTTCTAATACGTTTTAGTATTGCTGTTTTATTTCAAGTGGTTTTCATAAAGAGTTTGGTTGTAATGAGGTTGAACCACTCGTCTCTGTATCTCAGCTTTAAATCAGGTTATGATGGTGTATTGGCTAGTTTTTAACCTTCATCCCCACTAAGGAGTCCTGAGTACCAGTCCAGAATACCAGAAGTATTTCTAGCACAGTATGAGAAGCATATTTTAGACAAACACTTCAATATTGTTTATCATCTTCATCCTTGTTTCTCCTTCATTTCCTTTCTACATATAAAAAAACAACAACTAAAAACAGCAAAGTGCTAGCGGGCACAAAAACATGTCTCCCAAATCTGTAGTGACAACTCAAATCTTCATGTCACTCCACAAAACTTACTCAATCATTCAAGTCTGTGGGCTGCAGAGATGTTTCCACCTTATGCAGCTTAATACAGCAACATTTCACACTCCCTTTTATCCAACTGCATTTATTTGACAGCTTAAGCTGTAAAAAAGCAGTATAACATCAGAATGCTTCCATCACCAGCATGAATAAAAGCAAAAAGCTGAGGAAGGTCTGAATTTAATATGTTAGAGTGGTTTTTTAACACATGGAACGATGACTCTGTAAATGTTTATGGAGGAAGAAAAATGCTGAACATCTTTTACAGGTTTCCACTCTTACAGACAACAACAGGAAATAAATGCAACGTGTTTACTGTTGTTGTGCTTTACTAAAGCCAGACCCATGAGTGGCTGCCACTGTTAAATCTTAAATAGATGAGACACTTATGGTCATTTTGATTGTTTTATTTTGTAAAGTAAAACAGGCGGTAGAATAAAAAGACAATGAATGCACTTACAGCTTGACAGATGATAGGGTATTTGATTCGATTGATGCCACCAGCAAACACAGCGAAGGTCAGTGCTGTGTGGAAACAGAAGTTGACAAGCATATGCCATCCCCTCCGACTGATGCGGATTGCGCTGCCAGAGATAAAAAGAATGAAATAAATAAATTAGCTGGTACACGAAACCCTCAGGTGCTTTAACATATAACAGGATGTTTCATTTTCAAGACAAAGAGCCTGTCAGTCACATTACTAGTAAAGCTTTGCTGTAACTTCTCTTTTCCTTATTCTTTTGGCCATCTCCATTATCAACCATATCGGGTCTGCAGAGGTGCTCATGAAGATTAGAAAGCAAAAGTGCCTGAGGTTACATTCTTCATTTCCCTATATGTTTAGGTCAAGATACATTTTTTCATGAGTCAGAAACATTTTTGACTGACTATTCCAGGGACAGCAGCAGCTCAGGAGATAGAGCAGGTTGTCCAATAATCAGAAGGTTGCAGGTTTGATCCCAGCTCCGACCAGGGAATTGTGCTGTTGTGTCCTTGAGCAAGACACTTAATCCGCCTTGCCTGCTGATGGTGGTCGGAGGGACTGATGGCGCCAGTGTACGGCAGCTGTGGCTACACCGTAGCTCATCACCACCAGGGTGTGAATGACTGATTTTGTTGTGAAGCGCCTTTGGGGGTTTTAGAACCCTAAGAAGGTGCTATAAAAATACAGGCCATTTACGATTGTTACCATTCCTGTCAGTGTTTTCAACAGGATTCACACTCATGACCACACATGCTAGGGAATGGGAGGGTACAGAAAAGGCTGTCAATTTAGAGAATGGATGTGAATGTTGCTGAGAGAGGAGCTGTGGAGAATGGGTCTGGTGTCAGCAGTCAGGTGTGAGACAGCAGTAAGGTGTGAGACAGCAGTGATTTTTGAGACAGCAGTGAGGTGTGAGCAAGGGCGTCAGTTTGTTTTCAGAAATGCTGGGGACAATAAACATACACTTGAGTGGGGTTTAAAAATTGCTGGGGACAATAAAGTAGGCTAGCACAGGGGTCGGCACCCCACGGCTCTGGAGCCGCATGCGGCTCTTCCATCCATCTGATGTGGCTCTCTGTGCTTGTAAACAAACATCAGAGCTTTATACTGGACACTGTGTTCAGCGCGGCTCGGAGCGCCCACGGTGGCTGAAGATCTGTAGAGGGGTTCGCAGCACAGTGCAGAACCACGGTGCATGCGATAAGATTTCCTCCCACTGAAGCGGTCTGGAAACCCGGTCTCTCTGACGGATGTGTCACTTGGAAAAATGTTCTTTTTTATGAAATTATGAAACTTTGGCTGAATAGCGCTTGTTCCCGTCTCTAATAAGGACACGCATGATGCATCCGCTCAGAAAGCACTGTAGAGACATTTGATCACGCACAAAGTTTATGTGGAGCAGAAGCGGTCGGGCCACGGCAGGTGAAATGTTCCTAGCCTACATGAAGTGAAACAGTTTAATTGTAACATTAATATGTTACTGGACACGCTGGTCTGGTTGGTTAGACCAGTGTTTGAAGTGGAAAACACACACACATACACACACACACACACACACACGCACACGCGCACACACACACACACACACACACACACACACACACACACACACACACACACACACACACACACACACACACACACCAATTAAATTAATGCTGATAGCGTGGACTAGAAGACGTGATGGTTTAAATGATGATCAGGCTGCTGTAAAATGTAATCTCCATCCACATCCAGACAGAATTCTCCTCTATTCTTTCTCTATTTGCTCTGCTCTTGTCTGGGCTGACGTAGCTGATGGAGCGAGCGGCGCGCCTAACTAGCGGCTGATGCACATTTTACGTATTTGGAGAGGTGAGCTGGATGCTTTGCTTTTACTGGAAGATGGTGCACTTAACGCACGGGTGTTGACTACATATTGATGACAAATGAATGAAAATTAAATTGTGAGTTTTTACTTCATATTTTAGAAATTAAAATGACGGGGGAACACATTCATGACGTCTTTTTAAACGAAATTTTCTAGCGCGACCTGCCTGCTTCACTTAAGTCGCTGCTTATTAAGGTCCGTCCAAAATTACCTTGGCCCACCCAAAAATGAAAACCTGGCACCGCGCCTGTTATAAACCTCTGCAAATTGTTGTTCTTCACTTTATCAAACTCAGACTTTGTACAGCTAATGTCAAGATGTAAAATTATGAATTCAGTCGAGCTCTTCCGTCCCTCCCTCTCCTGCTCTCCTGGAAACCCGACATCAGCTGTCAGAAGCGGGAGGTGAAGAAGGAGATGAGGCAAACAGAGTGAGTGCGACGTAAAGAATCCAGACTGGTGTGGAGGTGAGCAAAACAGCTGGAAAAGTGTGGGTGTTGCATCCCCCCCATGAGATCTGAGCTGGTAAAACAAAAATCCTCATCAGCAGGCTTTTTTGAAAGTGTGGGGGGGACACAGCTGCCTATCACAAATTTTGCCGGGGACATGTCCCCGGCGTCCCCGGCTAAAATGACGCCTATGGGTGTGAGACAGCACTAAGGTGTGAGACAGCAGTGATTGTTGAGACAGCAGCGAGGTGTGAGACAGCACTAAGGTGTGAGACTGCAGTGATTTTTGAGACAGCAGTAATGTATGAGACAGCAGGGAAGTGTGAGACAGCACTAAGGTGTGAGACAACAGTGAGGTGTGAGACAGCAAGGAGGTGTGAGACAGCAAGGAGGTGTGAGACAGCAGGGAGCTGTGAGACAGCAGGGAGGTGTGAGACAGCAGGGAGCTGTGAGACAGCAGGGAGGTGTGAGACAGCAGGGAGGTGTGCACCAACAGTGAGGTGTGAGAAAGCAGGGAGGTGTGAGACAACAGTGAGGTGTGAGACAACAGGGAGGTGTGAGACAGCACTAAGGTGTGAGACAGCAGGGAGGTGTGAGAAAACAAGGAGGTGTGAGACAGTACCAAGGTGTGAGACAGCAAGGAGGTGTGAGACAGCAGGGAGTTGTGAGACAGCAGGGAGGTGTGCACCAACAGTGAGGTGTGAGAAAGCAGGGAGGTGTGAGACAACAGTGAGGCGTGAGACAACAGGGAGGTGTGAGACAGCACTAAGGTGTGAGACAGCAAGGAGGTGTGGGACAATAGTGAGGTGTGAGACAACAGGGAGGTGTGAGACAGCACTAAGGTGTGAGACTGCAAGGGGATGTGGGACAACAGTGAGGTGTGAGACAGCAGGGAGTTGTGAGACAGCAGGGAGGTGTGAGCCAACAGTGAGGTGTGAGACAGCAGGGAGGTGTGAGACAGCAGGGAGGTGTGAGACAACAGTGAGGTGTGAGACAGCAGGGAGGTGTGAGACAACAGTGAGGTGTGAGACAACAGGGAGGTGTGAGACAGCACTAAGGTGTGAGACAGCAAGGAGGTGTGAGACAACAGTGAGGTGTGAGACAGCAAGGAGGTGTGAGACAACAGGGAGGTGTGAGACAGCAAGGAGGTGTGAGACAACAGGGAGGTGTGAGTAGGATAGATCTTTACAGAGAATGCTGCTGTTGTGTCCTTGGGCAAGACACTTGACCCTCTCTGCCAGCTGCAGGTGGAACGGGTGGCAACTGTGCTCAGCAGCCTCGCCTCTGTCCTTTATCGTTTCTTACTTAACAGTGTCTGGTCACAGCAGTGAGAGCAGCCATGTTTCTGGTTTAGAGACAATGTCCACAAGGACAAGACAAGAGACTGAGATGAGTGAGTGAGAAATTGGTGGAGGATGGACCAGGAATGAGTCCATCACAGAAACAGCTCCGGTCTGCAACAAGATGGCGCCTGTGCTTGGCTTAGCTGTGGTCACCGGCCACTTTTTCAAACTTTTCTCCACTAACCTCCTCTTTTCCACCTTGCTCCTGTCTGCAATCCTCTTCAGTAGTGTCCCTGCTACCATCTCCTATGATCGCCAGACTCTTCTCTCCTTCCGTTCGTTCATGATCTCCCAAGATGCACTGAGGATTTACCATCCTGTTTGTTTACCTGAGCGGCGCACTGGCCCGGAATCAAACAACGATCCAGAGCTGCGCACCTCTAGCGACGTTTATCCGGTCCCGGGAAAACGTCGGAGGAAAAGAGGTAAACGAGCAGGAATCCAGGTGAGAATAAGACTTCTCTTAAAGTGTGGTTTATCTGGTAAACATCGGCGTGATCTTCTAGCTTCATGTCCTTTGTTTGGTGACCTGAGCACCACTTCCGCATTCCCGCCAGGCCACGTTGGGACGCGGTTCATCCGTCCAAGTTTTTTAAGGTGGGTTTATCCTCATTCCTCAGTGGTTTCTCCTCCTGTTCCCTCCATAAGTGGTTTTTATAAACACCGTGGATCTAACCCTGCTAATTTACGTCCACTAACTCCAGCTGTTTCTGTAGTTTCTGATTCCTCCACCTCACTCAGCATGGCTCTATTAAATACCCGCTCTGTTAACAATAAGACCTTCCTGCTCAATGATCTAATTCTCTCTAAAATCCTTGATTTTCTGTTTCTGACTGAAGTTTGGCAGCAAACATCTGATTATTCTGCTCTGATTGAACTTTGCCCGAGTGGTTATTCTTTTCTTAGACAGCCCCGGGGTTCTGGTCGTGGTGGAGGCCTAGCTGTTGTTTTCAGAGACCATCTTCCATGTAGCTCTACAACCTCTGGTCACTTTGCTTCCTTTGAACTGCAGCTGATTAAAGTCGGGCATAAGGACCCGTTCTACTGTGCTGTAGTCTATCGTCCACTGGTCCAAACAGTTCTTTCCTTCAGGAGGTTAGTGACTTTCTATCCTCCACTGTGAAGCTGTCCAGACTGGTGGTTGTTGGTGACTTTAACATCCAGGTTGATGATCCCTCCGATCACTTTGCCATGAAATTCTTCAGCCTTATGGACACCTTTGGCTTTACCCAATATGTTTCTGGCCCCACACACACCAGGGGGCACACTCTAGACCTTGTTTTTACCCTGAGTCTAAATGCTGACAGTGTTTGTCCTGAGGACATTTATATTTCAGATCACCATTGCATTTTCTTTAACTTGTCAGTTTCTGCGTCCCCACCTCCTGCTCGCCGTCTGGTTAGTTCTTGTTTTCTTAATGAAAGCACAGCTCGCAATTT